TTGCTGGGGGCATGGAGCTAAGTGATCCATAAGGACATCTAAACTTTGACCATATCCTCAGTGTGAGAGAGCTTTAGTTATCAAAAACAGAATGAAACTGTTAACTTTTTCTAGTGCAGTTTTGTGTGTGTGTGTGTGTGTGTGTGTGTGTGTGTTTAAACAAAATGCTTCTGAATCGAAAAGGCAAATTTCCTATTCTGTTTCTAAGGGACAACCCCAGGCTCGGGGCTGGCTTTCCTGAGAACCTGACCTCCTGGACCACATCCCGGGCCTGCAGGGAAGGTTTCCACGGCTCACTGGAGCAAGCGAGGGGCAGAAAGAGGCCAGCAATTACACCCGTACTGGGACTCGTTTCCTGCAGCATAATTAGGCTTCTGCAGTCCCAAGCGGGCTGGCTACAGAGGCAGGCTCAGTCCCACAGAAACAACTGAATATCTGTGCTTTACCCGTGTAATAGAGTACTATACAGCCCCTACACTGAGGTGACAGAGATAGTGTGGCTGCAAGGAAAGCTACTCCTTACGAACCTGCAGGTTGAAGTTGTATAGATAAAAAAAAAAAGCCAGAGAAGTGCCCCTAAGTGTCAGCCATGACTATTCCCACGCTGAGCTCTGATGTCCTCTCCCTCCTCCCTCCTCTCCTCTCTGCATTCCTCAGTGCTCCACACTGAGCATTTATTACTCTTCTGCACTTGTAAACATGTTCCCTGGGCTCCTTGGTCACCAGACCCCAAGTCCTCTCTGGGCCCTGCAGGGAGCCAAAGAGGAGCCACTCCAGCTCTGCCATAGGGGCAGCTTTCAACCTCAGAGCTGAGTTGAGCCCTGGGGCTGCAACCCCCCTACATGACCTTTGGCATCGGGTCCCTATTGACCCTCTCAGAGCTCTTGGCAATAAACTCAGGGACTTAACATAATTTATTCTCAGGTGCTCCAGTGCAGGAATTATTGTCATCAAGTGAGGTGTGATGAGATATTAGATAAGATGCATTTGTACACGCATCGACCTGCAGCTTCTAGCTCTCTCTGTGACCTTGCCATCCCCAAGGATGAGTCAGGGTGGCCCTGGGCAGGTGGGCCTGGGCACATGGAGGTGTAACCACTCATTTGGGACAGAAACATTTTCATCTGCATCGAGTTTCCCTCATTACCTCCCTAACATTCTTTCTGGATATATTTTCCCCTGTCCACTGTTTCATCAAAAAGGCTTTAAGAACCTCTGGCTCTGGCACAGGGAGTCCTATGCACAAGTAGCAGGAACAGTTTCTAATCTGTCCCCACACATAGCCAAGTGTGGCCATAAATGGCAGCGCTCAAGAATCAGCCCCTGCCCAGGCCACAGCCCCGCAATCAAAGCCAGATTTGCTGTAGATCCCTAGTACTTCTCCAGGAGATCAGTCATGTGTGGGGTTCCAGGGAACATGGCACAGTAAGGAAGACAGCAGCTCAGAGCAGCAGTCTGACAGTGAATTATCGAGCCACTGAAAAGCATTAGCATCAACAGGTGTGCTTCACTGCAAAAGGGAGTGAGACGGAATCACATCGCACCTGGCCCTCCAGGGCCTGCTCCTGCCTTTTCACAGAGCAAGCATCGGAGTCCTTCTCACTTGGTCTCACAGACGGCAAGAAGTAGAGAGCCACAGATCAACGGTGAAAAGTTTGTGGGTTTCACTTTTCAAAGAAACGCTGCAGATGCTGTGCCACTCAAACCCTTCCCCAAGGTTCCCCAGCTCTAACGTCCCGCGGCATGGAGCACACTTTCTGTGCGCTCTTCCCTCACCTGTGCTCAGCTTTTAAAGACAATGTTGTGCATCTCATTTTTCATGAGTTTTCCTTCACCTAAGTGTCTGAAATTCATTTCCCCAGAGGGAGAAAATACCTCAGAGTTTTCAGCTGCCTTTGAAACTGCTCTCCCTGTCCAAACAGCTGGTAGAGGAGCTCTGTGTGATTGTGCTGCGCCTTGGTGATAGCTCGTCCTTCCAGGTGCAGCACACACCGACTCAGCTGCTCCAGATTAGGCATTGGCCCTGAACCTCACTGAATCCCACACCTTTAGGTACTTGTGGTGCCTGGCAGCATGGCTTGGGGAGGTGCTGGGTAAACTGAGGCAGGGCCCTTCTGTGGCATCTGTGACCCAGAACTGCCAACTCAAAAGCATAAATCTCAAACATCACTGAGGGACCACTCAAGCCAGAGCAAAAGGCCAAACCTGCAGGCCTTAAGCCATGGGCTTCTTGGGTCAAGAGTTTGCCCTGCAGAGCCTAGTGCAGCAGAGCTGGGGTGCAGCTCCTTAGTGGTGCTGCCCAGCCCAGCATCAGAGAGATGGGGAGGTCTCAGAACAACCTCACATGGAAGCTGCCGGTCCCCTGGAAAGGCAGCTCCTGGGCACACGCCGGTCCCATCCCAGGCTTCTGATCCTATGGTGTCCCTATCCTTCTGCGCTGCCCATGCTGCCATGGAGCTCTACTCCATGAAGTGTTAGCTTTTTGTCACTGTGACAAAATGCCTGGGACAGTCAACTTTTTGTTTTATTTGGGTTTGGTTTGGTTTTTTGATGGTAGTGGAGATGGAACCCAGGGCCCACACTCTGAGCTACTCCCTCAGCCTTTTTAAAACATTTTTAAATTTTTGAGACAGGGTTCCTCTAAGTTGCCCAGGCTGGTCTCCAACTTTCAATCCACCTACCTCAGCCTCCCAGAATGCTGGCATGGCAGGTGTGCAGCAGCAAGCCCGGCTGAGATAATTGACTTTAGAGAGGAAAGGTTATTTTAACTCAGTTTCAGAGATTTCCATCCAGGGTCAGCTGATAACAATGCACTTGGGCCTGTAGAATGGGGCAGGAGCCCCTGGCTGAGGAAGCTACTCACCTCCTCCTGGCTGCTGGAAAGTGGGGATGGCAGAGATAGGACACACCCTGTGTCCTTCGACCCTCCACTAGGCCCCGCCCCTTCAAGGTTCCACCACTTCCCCATAGCAGTCCCCTAAGTTCCAAGCGTCTAACATAGGAGCCTTTGGGGCTATCCCAGGTCTAAGCTGTAGAAATTGCTGGTTTAGAGCATCAGGTTTTCCTGAACTCAGTGCTCTTCTGGAATGTTGCAGGCACATTCCAGGCCAGACAGTCCTGCATTCTGTGATCACAGGATGCTCAGCCATGAGCCGTCTTCTCCCCGTTAGATGGCAGGGCCCCAGCCATGGCAAGCAGGTGCTCTTCAGTGTCACTGTGCCCAGACTCCGTCCCCGGCCGCCACCTCTGTGGACAGTTTAACACCAGGACACCAGGCATGGAGGGGCCGTGGAGCCTACAGGGTAGGGAACTTACTCTTCAAAAGTAAATGATCCGTTTGCAAGCAAGGGCTCAGTTTTTAGCTTTTCATGAATCACTGCCAGAAAAACCAACCTGGGGCCAACCTGTGCTGTGATTCCAGGTTGCCACTAGGTTTGGCATCCCAGACCCTGACAAGCATTAATGATCGTCCCTAGCTTAATAATTAAAAGACTGTCACACTGTATGGCTGTCTCTGGTCTTCTAACCTGCAGCTGGCTGGCTGGTGGTCTCATCCCTAAGTGCCCCCACTCATGACGCCTTCGTCCTCAAGTCTGCCATTTCTTACATAAAGCAGCGAATGTTCCACAAGGGAAAGTCAATGTTCCTTGCTCAAAGAATTAAAAGAGAATTAACTGGAACTTGGTGAATTTTTGCAAATGGGGATCTTGCAACCATGGACTTTCAGTCCACCCAACTTTGAATGCAAATGGTCATAAAGGCCCAAATCCTAAGCTCGAAGTTGTGGTGTACCTCCTAAATTCAAGCTCTGCCTAGACAGCTTTGCAAGACTATCTCAAAATAAAATTTAAAAATGGAGTGGGGAGTGTAGCTCAGTGCATAGGTCCTGGATTCAACCCCCAGTATTAAAAGTGGGGGGCAAGTCTTCCACAGGTCATTCGCATTAAGTCCTAACCACTCCAACCGTGGCCCCAGGGTCAGCCGCCAGGGTGTTACCGAGGAAGTGGCTAGAAATGCACAGCCTCAGCCTCAACCCCTCCCTAGAGGTCAGGTGAGTCCCAGGTGCACAGAGGAGCAGCAGTGAGGCAAGGGGCCAGAAGTCCCCCACACTGTGCAGCCCACAAAACTCCACAAAATTGCGCAGCCCAAAAAACCCTTCCTGGGAGCAGCAATTGTCCATTTACTTACAGGACTTCGATAAACATTCACTCTGTAGACTGAAAGCTCACAAGTGCAGTCTGATCAGGGTGGGACCTCAGGGCCACACGCACAGGGCTCAAACACAGTGCATCCTGGAGTCACCTCTGCCCTGGCCACGTCAAAGGGCTTCCGGGAAGGTTCACTTCTGAGTTAAAACTCAGAACACCTGAGTTTCCATCCCAGTCCCAAAGGGATGATTAGAACCGGCCGAGAGGAGAAGACACGCAGCATTTGCCTTTTAGCTGGATGACGCATTTATCCGAGAGTGGCCGGTCACTGCCAGGTCTGACTACTGAGAAAGGAAGGCACTGTGTACAACTTCTAGCCTTACCTGGTTTCTTTAATTTTCTTTATAGTCTTTTTAAAATTAAATCAGGAAAAGTTTACTGGACTGTGAGTAGATGTTATAAATTCTAACAAAATTACTAGTAAGAAGGACTTTTCACTTAGTGTGTACATATTTAAATATTTGCCTATAACTTATCTTGCCTTCCCATAAAAGAATGTGAAGCAAATGTTTACAATGAAATGACAAAACATAACCAAGACCACTTACTAAGAGGGGGACCACAGCGTGACCATCTCATCTCTTTTCCTGTGAAGGGTAACGAACATGTCTCACATTTTATGACCGAGAAGTTATAAACAGAGGCAACACCTTTGTCCCCAGCCACTAACGTTGATGACGTTCTTGTCCCGGTCCTCCAAGCAGTGCAGCACGCTCTGCCTCAAACGCTTCTGGGCAACACCAAGGACTACTTCATGCCCTTCCCAGTCACAACACACAAGAAACAGGGGCCTGGCATTGTCAACAGTGTTTTATTTACGAAGAATTGTTTTGATTTGACCATTTGGAAAACCACTTTCACCTTAGAAAACATTAAATAATAAACAGGATGTTATACAGTACTTTGGATAACTTCTTCCATCAGTTTAGTGCAATGTATTATTGGCACCTAACAGTGAAATTTTCAATTGTTTTCCTCTTTGATCTTCTGCTGTGCAGTTATAGGATCCAAAAGGAAATGAATCATTAAAAATGCATCTAAGACCGTGTTTTCTGGCCTTTACACAACAGCTTAATGATTTCTGTTCCCCTCCAGCCCTGTCTCTAACAAGTTAAGTTGCAAAGACCAGCTCTTGGGCCTATGATTAAACAACATTAGTATTTCATGGAACCTGGGAGATTTGAGGTGAAAGATGTTGTGCATGACACTCTTAGTACCCATGTTAACCTGTCACACACGAAGCAGATAAAAGTACCTCCACCAGATGAAAACCTCTCTGACCGGTGCTTGATTGAGTCTCTCTAAAAACATCTGGAACATCATCTGTTGAGCAAGTGAGTGGTTTATACCTTTACCAGGAAAGAAACACTTACACTCCACACTAGGACACTGCTGAGATACCTGTCCACTGCAACTTCATTAGGAATAAACGGTGTGGGGGAGTTTTTCCCTTTTGTTTCTACTTGCTTTGATCCTGCTAGATTTTTGCAGGAGAAGAGCTGTTTCCATGAACTCAGCATCTTCTCGTTTGGGCGCCGTCCATTGGGAGGTCAAGCAGAAAGGGCTGAATGACTGCCCTGTCCAAATGGCTGAGCTCTGGAGATTTCCATTACACATGAGTAGCAGGATCAAAACATCTTCTGGGAGATGCCGTAACCCACTGCTTTACCTTGAGGGAAACCTATCTTGAATAGGTAAATTTTTATCTAGTCCTGAGAGACGGACATAGGGAGGCCAAGACATTGATGTTCACACTTCTTTTTTTTATAAAGGACTTTAATTTAACAAGTGCCCCCAGCAGGAATCGCTCCCTCGCACTCCTAAGCCCACATCCTCTTGTTCTATTCTCAGTGCCCATGGGGGACAGGGGGCCACCATCCTCTGTGCCACCCCTTCATACATGTGACAGCAACCTATGCTTGGCTCCTTAATCTTCTCCAGGCTGAATCATCCCACTTCCTCTAATTTCTCATCATAGAGCTCTCTTTTTCAACCCCTTTAATCATCTTTGTGATTCCTGGCAAATGCAGAAATACTCTGATTACTCCATCAGATGTGAAGAAAGGCTGCAGGAGTAAGCTGCCTTTTGAAAGTTGGTGTTTTTCCTTGTGGGTGACAGAGTTCCCATTGTGGCCTCTGCCTGAGATGCACCCTGCAGCACACAGCCAAGGTCTCAATGCCAGGACTGGCCTCCTCTCTGACCCTGGCATGTCCCAGAAGGCAGGAGCGACTCTTCCCGAAACATCTCAGCTGGGTGTGACCACCTGTCCCAGTGGAGCCCCCATACACTTCCTCCCCACTTCCTGGTAGAAACAGGGCTTCCCCTAAAACCAGAGCTTTACAAAGTTTCTTGGGGGTGGCCAGAGAGAGCTATGTTCTATGACGGTGAAAGCCGTCAACTCAACAGTGAGGGTTTTCTATATTAACTGCAGTTTCTTATCACGTTAATGGTTTATTATCCTTTATAATGATCCAATTCAAGACCATTAGAAAAATTCCATCACTCCTCCACCATAACCTGACACTTCTGCCATTTTTCTCTTAGTGCCAATGTAAGGTCACCACACTGGATGACATTTTGCCTTATTTTTTTTAACTCAGGAGATCACAAGCTGCCTTTTACTTTGCAACTAGAGTCTGTAAATATCAGGAACACGTAAATACTTAATATCAATAGCACATTTACATAGAACACAGCAACTACTGAGGAATTCCGTGCCCACTCTACATAACTGTCTTTATAAGAAAAATACAGATAACAAGAATAAATGCTTCTTGGTATGTTATACACCCTTCTTTCATAAAGTGAGTGGCAGTAAAAGAGTTCAGATCGGGCCAGAACTAACTTCATTGAGAGGGGAAACTGATTTCACAGGCACGCCGCACATCATAGCTTAAGGGAAGTCAACACCACGCACGGCACGACACTGAACAGGGAGCAAAATGGCATTTGCACAGAGTTCTGAAGTTTTCTCCCATCATCCACTACAAGGAGCACTTTGTAACCAGGATGAAAGATGGTGCAGGGCACACACGGGCAAGGCCTCCCTGCACGGGCCATGGGCTCGAAGGCGACACCCACGATGGCTTGGATGTGTCTACAGACACCCCTGTCCTTTGGGGGGTGTGGGAGTCCCTGCTCACTGGGATTGCACAACAGCAGGCCTGTGAGACATGGGTCACCACCCGGTCCCCTCCTGGCCCCCTGGCCCGCTCGTCTAGGCCTGGGAAGAGGGAGCGGGGCAGAAAAGGTGAAGACTGGAAAAGGAAGAGGGAGCAACACAGGAGCTGCTGCCAGCTGTGGGGCCGCTAGTGCTCTTCAGAGCAGGGGCCTCTCCTCAAGCTCACGTCATCCAACCCGATCTCCCCGGGGTGGCCACGCCTCCTTTCACCCTTGAAGATGACCTAGGAGAGAACACACAACCAGTGAGGCTGCCTCTGCCCCTTTTAGTCCCCTTTCCGCAGCAGAATACAGGCCAACCTTCCCCCAAATCAAACGCAAAGCCAGGCAGCCAGAGGACACACCCGTCCATCATGGCCATGTCACCAGGGGCTTGTTCCCCACATAAAACTCAAGCCATAGGGAAATGCTCCTTCAGGCCACGTGACTCCCTGGACTGCAGACCCAGTCACCTTAGGCAGGCTCACAAAATGGGCTCTTGGCAACCGTGACCAAGGTGAAAAGCAGGAGGGATGTGACCAAACATCAGGGACAGCCCCTGAGCCAAAGATGTAAAGGATCACAACCATGCCGCCCGCTGGAGGTGCTCCTCAGCTCCTCCTTCTGAGCAGTGGGGCTTCTTCCTGAAGGACCAAGGTGAGCGCCTTAGGCCCGCACTGCGGGTCTGCCTGTTCGCACACTAATACGCTCATTGCTCTTGTGTTTCCTCTTTTGCAGAAAGTCCCTGCTCCTTCTAAAACACCAGAATCATTTCAATGTCCAGTTTGAAGCTATTTATTTTCTTGGGTTTTTCTGCCCAAGTAATATAAATATTAAGAAAAAAACTTAAAACTCAAAGAGTCAAACAAACTGAAGTAACCTGCTGAAAACTGTACTGATGGAGTCTGTATTTTCTTCCCAAAATCGTCTGGAGAAACTGTATCTGCAAGCATATACACTGTCTCTTTCTAGCAAAGGTTTCATAAGCATCAGCACAAAGGTGACCCTTTTCCAAATGCATGTGTTATTTTGGTGGAATGTCTCAGATCATTTTCTTGTTATAGTGACTTTATTACTTTTAAAATAAACTTCCATAGTCAACCTAAGCTTCGTCTGTATGCTGTCTTGAATAGAGCAGTGCTTTCTGATGGTACTTCTGGCTTTCCATTCAAAACTGCTTGACCAGGGCCTCTGACAAAGGGGAAGAATGAACTTTAAAGAAACATTTAGCTGGGTGTGGGGGTGCAAGCCTGTAATCCTAGCTCTCAGAAGGCTGAGGCAGGGGGACTGCTGTGAGTTTGAGACCAGCCTAGAATACACAGTGAGTTCAAGGCCAGCCTCAACTATGTAGTGATACCCCGTCTTAAAGAAAAAAAAGAAAGAAGAAACATTTAAAAAGAGAAGAAAGAACCCCTGCACAGTAATTACTGGCCGTCAAAGCTGGAGGTGTAAGGAACTAAAGGACAGAGAACAGCAGCACAGTTCCGTACTCTGCCGCCCAATCCTGCGGACATTTCTATTTCTGTTTTTAACTTTTCTACTCACGCTCTTGATGTCTGCACCCCGCAAGGTGATCTGCGTCCGCCTCCAGCCACGGCCGCTGTCTCTGCCCCACAGGGCTGCCCCGTGGCCGCCATGTCTCCTCACGGACACCTGCAGTGTGCCCGAGTGCAGCCCGGTCACTTTGTGCCTGAAGGTCAGGCATGCGTCCCCCGAGTGCAGGAGGTGGCCGAGCGGCAGCACCAGGCGCGCGGCTCTCCCCCCAGGGGCCTTGGCCGCCACGGTCAGGTACTGCCCACCTGCAATGGAAACAGCAGGCGGGTGTGTGTGAGGGCCACAGGGAGCAGGGATGGCGGCCTCGCTCTGTGCTTTCATGAACTTATCCCCAGGACGGCCACTAGTGAGGCCCTCCAGACTTTGGGAGGAGCTATCACTTGTTTCTCTGTCTTAAATTCTTTCATATCTGCAAAAATCCCTCATGGAGAGTAGAAGTTATGTCAAAGACACACAATAAAGTGTTTAGCAATCTAAACACTATGAATATTTCCAATGGAATACAGCCAGACATACACAGTGCTACACACACATACAACACCCAAGTGTGTGATCCTGCCCCCCTCTGGCTGTGTTGTCCAACACCCACCACCACACTGCCTCAGTAGTTTGGTAGAACTGACCCTATATTTCCTGGGAGAAAGTTCTGTATGCAGCAAAGCACACAGGCATTTAATGAGCTTTACCTGCTTATTCTCCTCCTGCTTTAAAAAAATCTTAAAATCCAGCAGGATCTTCTAGAGACATCACTGGCTATGCTGTCCACACTGGTCAACCCTAACTCCAGGAAGTCTTGGGCATCTGAAAACCAGGAGCAGTGACTATATTGGAGGAAAGTGGCTGGAAACTCTCTGACAGGAAGGCGAAGCTGTACCACCACACCTACTTTATACATTAACCTATTTTCTTCTATTGCATATAAGTGGATGCGCGTTCTTAAACTTGCACATGACAAGGAACGTCTAGTGTCATCCTTTGTCACCTACAAAGTCACTTCCCTCCATGGTTAAGAGAATTGCAAATAAAAAACCACAAGTGTAAGCACCAGGGTGACAGGTGTGCGTGCTGCTTCTTGAGAAAAAGTCACACATGCGGTTTTGAAACTCCACCCGGGTCCACACGACACTGGCTTCAGGTGGTTTTATTTTCCTGTCAAATGAAAAACGCCCTGGACATTTTGACACCGATCTGCTCATGGGGAAGGTGCGGTTGGAGCCCAGAAGGCTGTGAATGACTGGAAGTCAGAACCAAACCTTCCCTCGATTTCAATTTCCCCCTATGCTCCTAGCATAAAGTAGGGGTTTAAGAGCCTTTACTGAATGAGTGAATGGATTTCCAGGAATACAGCAAACACTGCAGGAAATGGGTCCTGATGTCCATGTCTAAATCACTGAACACAAAATTTCTTCTCCTCCTTCCTACCTATCCCCATCCCCTCTGCCACAAGTTAATCCAGAAGACATGGGGCCAAAACGTGCACATGGATTTCAAGTATCTCCTGCTAAGTCAGCTCTTGAGTCATAGGTATGCTGGTGAATCTGAAGACACACGGTTATTACAGAGAACCTGCGAGTTCTAAGCAAACAGGGATGTCTTATGTCCTGATGGAATGTACTCTAATACCATTTTTTGAGATGCTGCTTGCAAACAGAACAACCTAAAAAACCAAGGCATCCTGATAAAAGCTGCAAATCTTTCTGCATACGCACTTGAAACTCCAAAATTAGCTAGGAATAAAAGAGATTACAACTGTTCTTCCTCCGTAGAGCTGTTCTGTATCGTTTTGCTTTTTCTACTGTAAATAATTCTTTCCCTGTGATGTGAAATGAAATGCCACAAAGTTAGACAGTAACTAAGAGGAAAATTAATCCAGCAGAGCTGACAAGTTACCTACTACATAAAATTTGCACCTCTGATCCCAATATACTGGTTTAAATGTAAAACTATATTCAATGTTTTCCTTCAATTTAACATCACAACATCTAAAGAATTAGGGCGAGGGAATAGTAAATAATAGTAGATGCTGGCTGCCAACTTGTCCAGGAAGTTGGAATTTAAAAATGAATCTACTTATCTTTAATTCCACACTGGCTGGTGCCTTTATAATCTTAATTTACAAAAAGAACACTATCATACCCATCACTTTAATGTGTTAACTGTGCGGTCAAAGGAAGAGATGGGGGGATATAGGGGTCCTGCAGTGATTCTATTTGTATTTTATAGCCTGGCTAAAAAACCCAGGTAGATGTAAGATCATTATGGCTTGGTGCCATTTCTCCCTGCCATGAGCGCCATCCTGCCATGAGTGCCAACATAAATAGTCTGACTTCTAATGATGGGTGGGGGAGGGTGAGGGAGGGAGGACATAAAGCACCTTGTAGTATTACAACTTGCTTTTTTCATTAAATATATCATAGATATTTCTTTATGTCAACAAATATATTTTTCATAGCCATAAGTATGCCAATAATTATCTAGCCAATTTCTTATTGGGGAACAGTTAGGTTTCCAAATTTTTACTTTTTAAAGGTGAAAAAAATTATAAAACATTCAGATAAGCAAACAAGTTTTAAAAATATTTGCAACGTGAGAGAGATAATTTTCCTTTTCATACAAAGAATTTTTATAATTCAATGATAAAACAAAGAAAAATAAGGGGCATTGCAGAAAAAAATGACTTGAATATGTGAATATATGGTCATCTTTTCACAAAAGAAAGACGTGCAAGTTAAAATTGAAATGTAATACTTTTTAACCTATAAGTTTGGCAATGATTAAAAATAGCTCTATATCTGTTTTGCTCGTGGCTCTCAAATATTGCTGATGGGAATGTAAGTTGCTACAACCTTAAAGAAAGGTCATGTAGAATCTATCAAAATTTAGAATGCAAATTCCCTTTTCACTCAGTAATCCCACCTGCAGGAGTTTATCCTACAGATACATTCAACAAACATGAAGCAGTATCTGTGCAGGGTTATTAGCTGCAGTACTGCCTGCACTAGGAAAAGGCCAGAACAGGGGCTGCCCAGTTGGGGCTGGTGCTACATTTTGGGGGAACAGCTGATGGGCGGGGCAATGACAGCTGTAGGCAAGAATGCAGGTGCTCTGTGTGGACTGACACAGGACAGTCTTCAACAACAGGAACTGACATCGCTGATGAGGTGACCCTGAGCAGACGCTGCTTGAAAGGCTTTGCAAGATGTGTCACAGATGCTATTGATGACCTGCCTTTAACTTGCTCAAGGTCAAAGGTAGCAGGCAGTGCTGGGCTTCAGCCCAGGCATTCTGGCTTCAGAGCCCATGCTCTTCGTGTTAATTCCTAATATGTTATCATCAGGTGACAGAAGGGAGTGCCACCATCTGCAGATATGTCTAGAAAGAACCAGGGACTGGCGCATCTGGACAGGAAAAGAGGTAAGTTGGGAAGCTAGAGAGCTTTTGTTTTCATTGTTAATTTATTTTTCTATTTACATGGATGAGGTATGATAAAAAATATGGTGTGTTTATATATTTTTTAATTATTACAGTAAAAAACATATGGTCATTGACCCAACCCCAAATTTTGGACACTTATCCCATCATTCTTGCCACTTTCTGCGGCAGTTCTGGAAGGCCTCTTTCCTAAGTGTCTTCAGTTTTGCTGGTGTGGGTATTTCAATGTCCTGAACCTATTCAAAATGTTTCCCCTTCACGGCCACTCTGACTTCAGGGTAGAACTAAAAGTTGCACCGTGCCAGATCCAGTGAATAAGGTGGCTGAGGACATAATGTCTGTTTCTATTAGCTGCCTTTTGGTTGGATGGCGCTCATGGCAGCAATCATTGTATTTTTTATCCTACCTCATAAAGACACTCAGGATAAAGGACTCCAGAGCTGCTTCACAAAGCGACAAGAACAGTGAGATAAATGTGGCTGAAGCAATGGGGAGCACTTTAGGGTGATTAATGACAATATGTCTTTTATTGTAATTTTTTCCTTTTTTTTCTTTTAAAGAGAAAAGAAAGCAAAACAACAACAAAGATAAAAACAAAACAATACAAAAACAGTAAAAAAGATACACAATTTCAAAACAAGATGAGAAGAAATTAACAATGTTGTTATATTACATACTGTTATCTTCAACGAAACTGCTCAGATTACTCAACGTAAGAATGCAAGATTGATCAAAAAAAGAGAATAAAAAAATAACTAAAAAATAGAAATGATACAGAGTTTCACTAATCAAGATGGCAGGAATTCAATAATGGTTGTTATATTGCATATTGTTACCTTTAAATTAGTTGTTCAGATTAACAGATATAAGCATGCAAAATTGGTCAAAAAAATTTCAGCATTAACTGTTCCTTTCAATAAACCAATAGACATCAGCAGTACAATTATCCTGGCTATCCTTGTATATCCATGTATATTTTTTTCTCTTCTTTCTTTTCTCCATTCCTTCATCCCAATTGTTCCTTCCCTTTGAGCAATTTCGTTCCCTTTCACAGTATCTATTGTACCATTCAACATCATTGGTCATTCGAGAAATGCAAATTAAAATAACACTGAGATTCCATTTCACTCCAGAAAGAATCACTATCATCAACAAATAAATCAATAACAAATGCTGGAGGGGCTGTGGGGGAAAAGGAACCCTTCTCCACTGCTGGTGGGAGTGTAGACTATAATCAGTATGGAAATCAGTACGGAGATTCCTCAGAAAATTAGGTGTAGAAGTCCCATTCAACCCAGCTATTCCCCTTCTGGGTATTTCATTGTAATTTAAAAAAAAAAATGTAAATATTCACTGTATATTTTGATCACCCTGTTTCAAAATAATGATTTTAATACTGCCATAGACACACTTGTATGCACACACTGGCACACGTGTCATAGTTTAAGTAAACTCCTTGCATTTCCCAGTAGCAGACAAAACCGAGCCATGTGCCTCTGACTCTGGATCAGGAAAGACCAGAGTTCTGCAGGTCTACCCTCATCTCCTGGAAAGGGACATTCTCGGCTACAGCTACACCCTGCAGCACATCACCCCATCTGTGAGCAGACAGTTTTCCATTCCATGGGGGACTGTACTAATTTTACCTCTCATGGTGAAGTTGAAGACCGAATGTGATAAAACCTAGTAGTGCCAGGAAAGGCAGTTGGCAAACACACTCATTTGGTAGCTGTTCCTCCAGGTTGTAAATCTATTTAATTGAGGGTTTTCTTCAGTGTATAAATATGTCTGCAGATCTAGATCTTGCATAAGAACTACACATCATTAAAATCAATCATAACTGGAAACCCAAACATTGTACATTCTTTCACAAATGGTATAATCTGGATAGAAACAAGTAAACTGTGTTAATTAGAATAATATGCAGAAATTATTTATTAAATTCCTTATATGCTTCTCTGGCCTTTACTTGTCTCTCTCTCTCTCTCTCTCTCTCTCTCTCACACACACACACACACACACACACACACACACTCCACTGAAACCTCCAAACTCCACCTGAACTTCTCAGAAGAAAAACAGGCATGAAAAGATAAACCTCACTGATGGCTTCTCACTGGTATAAGGTCAGAATTCCCTGACATACTGCAGAAGGAGATTGTGCAGCTGCTTGCTGACACGCAGCGTGCACTCTCCCTTCCTCCACACTCCCCGTCCTTGGGCTCCTATCCTTTCTAATAAGCTAGCAACCTGCTCACTGATTTCCTCCAGCCTTCCACCGTGAAGAGAGGCTCTCACAGCTGCAGCTGCATTAGGGGTTTTCTAAGTAATGCTCACAGGGCTGGGAGCAATTCCACAGCATCTCGCCATATGCCACCCAGACAAATGGCTCCCCTAAGAGAAGCCCACCCTTCCACTTGCTTGGTCTCTTTTGAAACAGCTCTGTTGGAAAACTGAGAGGGACCCCAAATCTGTCTCTGTCATTTTCACCCCTCCATCCCCTGGTGGTCAGAGAACACCTCTCACCCTGGGTCAATTACTGGGGAACAGCCCAACCCCATTCATTTCTCCTCAGCTTGAATATTCTGGTTCCTTCAACTGTTTTTCACAGCCTTAAGATATCCTTCTGCCCAGGTCATTCTATCCTGAATCATCTACAGTTAACTCTACTCTCAGACCAAAAAAATGTTCCCAAGTCACTTAACCACAGCAGATTTTCCATTCTGGAGAGGTATCATATTTTTATGGAAATTGGCCATTTTTTGGAAAGTAATACCACAGGGTTAAGTCACACTCATTTCACTATCCACCAAAACTGAAGTCTTTCACACCACGCTCCGTTAGAGTCTACTCTCCTCACTGGTACCTGCTGATCTGACCCTCCGTGTACTGGTTATCTCCACACACGAACACTTTCCAGCTTTGAGTCAACCACAGTTATGTCAGTTGTCTTCAGTATCTAACTTCAATAAACTTATCCAAGTTGTTGGTAAAAGCTTGACCCAAGCCTTGGAAAGCATCCTCCAGGGGCTGGAACCAATCAACAGGAGTTATCCACCCATCCACACAGCTGCTGCTTCCCCTCCATTTGTTCAGTGCTAACACAGCCTGAGGACTATTTCCAGTGTGCCTCACGCACACTGCACAAGCTCCCTACCGCTGGGCCGCGCCCCGGCTCCTGTGTATTACTCTCACTTTCAGCCCTCCTCACATTTGTCTACCAGAGGGCAAGGGGAATGTGGGTCACAGATTTACACATTTACAAATGTGATAAGTAAAAAAAGTGTTGAGAAGTACTACGTTGGTTCTAAAATATGCTGTGTAAATTCTAAAACTCCATTTAGTCTACTTTACAGGGGCTCTCTTCCAAAAGAGTGTCTACACAGGACTGCCACGAGTTCTGAGTTTAGCAAGGAGCACCCTTACTTGAAGGGTATTCATCAGGACCACACATGTTATTTGCCATCCTATCCGACATGGTGGCCAGAGAGCACTCCTCTTCCAGCAAGGCGCCCCATGTTGGTGGTCAGTCCTGTTGGCTGTGACAGAGGCCAGACTGGGGGTGAGCAGAGAACCCAGGATGGGATGCAGGGTCCGGGCACCCAGGTTGAGGCCGTGTGGGTCATATAGGAACAGAAAGTCAAAAGTCTCAGCCCCACCACACCCCGGCTCCGGGGCTGTAGGACACTTAGGAAACCGATCCAGGCATCGGTGTTTCCCTTGTGAAACACAGTATCACCTGCTTCGTGGGGTGGGTGAAAAGTGAAATGAAAGGACCCAGCTGACAAATTAGCTAGGACCATTGTAGGTATTAAATGCACATTGGATTTTCTCTTATTCACACAGCCTGGTGACAATAACAACGTTGTCCTGATCAAAGCCAACTTTAAATGCAGGGGGGAGTAACTCATGAGTGTACCCTGCATGGCGCCACATGATTTTGTAACTAAAGGAAATCAAAAAGCCCATTGTAACTTATTGCATATTCATATTTTTAAAGGTTTACCTCAAGTTTTTATTTTAAAATACTTTTGTTACAATTCAGTCTTAGGGAATCTAATAAATGTATTTTTGAATTAATTTTTTAATATCTTGCTACTGAAAATGTGCACTGTGAGCCAGCAGCAAGGTCCCCAGAGTCTTTTTGGAAAGGCACAAAACTCAGCATTTGTTACGGCCCCAAGCCGTCTGCCCACCACAGTGGGGAGCGGCTTTCACAGACCACAGCTCCCTGCTCCCTGCCATGTGCCCCGGGCATGGTCTACACACCTGGTACAGTAGCTAGGAACCAGGTTTCTAATATCAGTGAAACTTCTCTTCACATCTTGTATCTTTTATTTGTGAGAGAAATTAGCTGGCCTTAGAATTTACTAGCCATCTCTCTTAAGATCACTCTGCCTGATACCTAACAAACCTGGCTCCCATGAGGAACGCGGGCACCATCTTCCCCACCCCTGATGAAGCAAGCATGAAGAAGAGCCACAGCACCCTCGGCCAGCGGAGAGGTCCCAAGCCAAGTGTGTGCCAGAAGGAGTGGAAGGAGGCAGATTTTACCTGCTGGGTCCTGGACCGGTTCCCAGTGCAAGTCGCTGTCCTTCTCCCGGATCCATCCGCAGAGGCCATGGTCAAAGTTGCAACTGTGCACGAGGACACCTGCCAGGAAGGGACGGATGAGGAGATGGCAGATGTGATGACCTGTGGCCCGGGGCCATGAGTATCACAGGTGTCACCTCCCACCCACACTTAACGTCGCACAGACGACTTCCGTGAGACCCAGAGGAAATCCATCATCCTTTTCTCGGCACAGCCGCGCACCACTGCGCAGCTGTGCAAACAGCCCTGAGCTCGGCCAAGTCACAGCCCTGCCACACTGTCACTTACACAACGTGACTTCCTGCTCAGAGTGCAAACGCCACTGTGTTTTTAAATAGAAATGATGATCCATAACTATTTTGGCTCAGCTGATTCAGCCGAGGTGTAAAACACACAAAAAGAAGATAATGTATAATTTCCCCATGGAGCTGAAAAATCTAAAATTTAAAGGTTATTTCACTGACATGGAAAACACAACGAAAGGTCGGAACTGTGCCCACCTGGGTCATCCTTAGCTTCATCATCATCCGCGCTGACTCCTCTCTCTATCTCGAACACCTCAAACAGGTCATTGGAAGGCTGCCGGGGAACTGCAAGAGAGGGCAGCACGCTGGTGAACAGACTCCCCGGGAGGGCACACCCAGGCTCACCCGCGACACTTACACTCCTCACGGAGGTTTGGCAAGTGTGCTCTGGGATTTACCCCGCAACACCTATCTGAATATAATTTACAAAAGTAACTTTCAAAACTTTCTACATCTCAACATAAAAATAAGCTCAAAGCCTTCCTCCGGAAAGTACCTTTTAGAATAGCTTCTGATTGCTGCCAAGATATTAATCTCCACAACATTCTAAACTGTGCCTCTCCAGAGGCTGCTGTAACCAGAAATGCCTCCAGCTGCAGCGAGTAGTTTTCTAATCACAATGCCCCTCCTGCCCAGCGAACTTCGCACAGGTTGGCGAAGGCCTGTCAGTGTAGCCGTCCTCCCTGAGGCATGTCGCTAGCTCCTTTACCTCCTTCCCGATCAAACCCAAATTCGCTGGTGCAACACTGACCTCCACCCCACCAAGACACGCCACAAGCCACGCATTTCCCATCTGTGCCCCAGTCCTCCCTCCTGCTCATGAACCTGCCAAACGTCCCCTTCCTTCCAGGCCCAGCACACACCACTGCCTCTCTGGGAACTTCCCGGCTCAGGCCGAGTTACTTCCCCCTTGGCTTCCCCAGCCATGTCACACCTGTCTGACCCTCCGCAGTCTCTGACGCCCTGGACAGCATCAATTGCAGCTTATGTCTGTGCATTTCCAGGGCATGACCTGGTGAGAGGCATTCAGTGTGTGCAGACTGAGGAAATGCGGACTGGCAGAAACCATGCAGTTGGCCAACGCTACTCCTCAAAGGGCACCGGTGGGATGGAGCCAGAGAATCCATTTAAACACCACCGCCTCACAGAAGTCATTTATGTACTCATTCACTCGCTGTATGTGATTCCCACCCAAATGCCAAGCACGATGGTGGGCACCAAGGAGACAGGGTGAGCGCACCAGGGAAGACCACAGAAGAGGGCTCTCGTGCAGTCTGAGTTCTAGGGGAAGCAGGTAGCACACATGGAGGTGATGAACATCTTAGCAGCAAATTCTGTTCTTTATTTCTTTATTTTATTTTTTTTAATCTTTTTGAGACAGGGTCTTGCTATGCAGTTCAGGCTGGCCTTGAGCTCACTTTGTAGCCCAGGCTGGTCTCGAACTCTCAATAATCCTCCTGCCTCAGCCTCCTGAGTGCTGGGATTACAGGAGTGCACCACCATGCCCGGCCTTAGCAGCAAACTCTGATTAGGGCTCTCAAGAAAAACACCCAGAGACGTCATGGAACCGTGGACTGTGTGGGAGAAGCTGCGGGTGGCCACAGGAATTTCTGGCCAGTGGCCAGGTGTGCTCCCTCCTGAGAAGCAGGACTGCAGCTAATTAGCTCCATTAAGCAGGGAACACGCCTTCGTCTGAAGGGCTCTGATCAGTGCTGTTCCTATTATTTTTAGCAGGATTTAAATAACTGACACGCCCATATTTGCACTAATAGTTTTTAGCTCACAACTTCTGGATTTCTTTTCCTTTTTGATTCAAAAGTGAGAACAGTGAAACCTGCTCTCACATGCACACTCTCCTGCCCCGCTGGACACAGACGCACGAAGACAGGCGCCACATACCTGGTGCCCGACAGAGGCCACCCTGCCCTCTTTTCTGACTGACAGCACTGACACCCAGTCACAGCTCTCCTTTCCTCTCTGGGGCTCTGAGAAGGGTGATGCCCCTCTTATTTCCTCGAAATATTACAAAGTCCATGCTACACTCCTTATGAAGTAAAGTTGTAACAACAATTAGAGAACAATCGTGCTTTTGACCCTGTCTTGCCAGAGCTTATATCTGAAGCAGGGTTGCACAGTACTGTTCCAGGGCCATGTGACACTTTTCAAGTCCCCTCCATGGACTGTCACATGCAGAACAGGCTTGATGCAGAATGTGCCGTACATATTCCCTGGCAGTTGATGTAAAAATACTGAGTGAAATAAGTAATGGAAAAATCACTCCAGTGATATTATTTTATCATTCAACTACACAGAAGAAAGTAAAAAGACTAAAGAGTGATCAATACACCAATACACCAATATGCTAATCACAGTAGTCTAAATATTGGAAATAAAAGTGATGCTTTCTCATTTGTTGGGTCTTTTTTTCTTTTGTAATTCTGTATTTTTGGATTGTTTATGAAAAGAAAAAAATTAATGATGAAAAAACACTTTCCTAAAACACTTAAAGAAGGTTGTGTCTGCACACACACGCATAGCAACTATGTCCATCACTTCTTTTTTTTAAAAAAAAAAATGTTCAACTGACACATAAAAAAACATTAACAACTATATATTAATGGGGTCCCATGGAATGTTTGACATATCTCTACATTAAGTAATGTTTAAATCAAGTTAAACATATTGAGCTTCTCAAACATCTATAATATCTTTACAGTGAAGACTTTCAGGTCTTTTCTTCCACGTCTTGAAATGCATATCATATTACTGTTTCCAATGAGACAAATGTGCATGCCCCTATTGTTATATGGGAGGCCATGAAACTGAAATAGCTTTGTGATGTTCTTTGATTCAAGGGAGCTAGTTTCATCAGTACAGAAAATGTTAAGTAGAATACACAGTCCTATTAGAAAATAGAAGAATAACTAGAATGGAGACTGATACATAATTTCTCTAGTCTTCCCTGCCTGGTATTTTCTCTAGTATTTAAATAACAATGCACATATTTTAAAAAACAAAAACATACCTGATATTCTCTGTAGCTGGACCATTAATTCTTAGAATTAGAATGGTATAATTTTAGAAACTAATTAACGATTCTAACAATACAATTCCCCTACTACCTGCCCTCCATTTCAGCCACTCATTTACACAGTCAGCCAAGGAACTCAGCACCACTGGGCATGGACCAGCAGGCAAACACTTGTCGTGGAGTAATGAACACATGTGTGCTTATGGATCTGCATTCCAGAGGGAGGACAGACATTTAACTCTCCCCAGTGCAGGGTCTGTGAAGGATAGGTTGGAAATGTCATGTGAGGGTATGGGAACAGGGGCTGGCTAAGCCATCCGGGGCAGGACAGATGTCAAGAACGTCTCTGAGAAGTAGTGCTTATGCTAAGGCCCAAAGGATGAGCTCCTGTGCACTAGGGCTGGGGGAATAAGAGGTAGAATGTGACGTAAGTGTAGCTGTGAGCTTGGGAGAGGCTAGGTGTGGCAACAGGAGTACAGGGGGCAGCAGAAGCAGGTGGACCTGTGGGACCTTAAAGTGTTGCTGACACACTGGGCTTCATCCTGGCAGAGCCTGAGAGCCTCTGTGCAGCTTTAACAGAGAAGTGGTGGATGGTTTCCCATGTGAAAACAACCTTCTGCTGCTAACTGCACAAAGAACAGGTGTCCTGTGAGTGAGGCCATCCCAGGGCATTCATGACTAAATTACCATCTGCTAAAGACATTTCCTAAGTGCCTTTCTGCCTTTGGTCAATGTTGCACCCACCAGAAAATATTCTTGCCTGTGGATTTCTGCAGCATTCTGTATAACTAAAGGAAAGGGTGTACAGAGCCCTAAGCAAGAGGACAGCAGGATAGAAACACACCCAAGCATTTCTGGGATGGCAGGGCCAGTGGGAGAAGGTGGGCACAAAAGAAACAGCACTTCCGGTAAGACTTGCTGGCCTGCACTTCCTGTTAAAACACATTCTCCCTAGGGATGTGACACCACTGATACCTAGCCTGCATTCATAAATGAGATCTCTCAAGTAGCCTACTGCACATTTTCACCCAGAAAACCTTAAGAGTAAACTCGGAGTGGTAAATGTAATATCACGCATACCTTCCTTGCCAAACTGGTAGCAAAGCGGGGTTTGGTCCATGGAAGAGAAAGGATTATATGCCACCATTCTTGTATCCCAACCTCTTTCCAGGGGGCAGAAGACTCAGACTATGGACCAGAGGTGGGAGGAACGGCAGGGCTTCGTGAGGCTGCCGCCACCCTCCATCCCTCCCTGTTCGCACTCCAGATGCAGAACATAACAGAGAGAGAGAAAAAAATGAAAAGCTCGGAAATGAGCTCCTGCACCACATCAGAGAGCATTCTCAGCCATCTACTGATCACTGGCAACAAGACCCGGGTCGCCGGGCCCCACAGCAGTAAGACTGCTCGCCGACCTTCTCCTCGCACAGGAGGCATCCACAGGGTTCAAAAGAGGAGCGGAACTGCGGCAGAAATTAAATCCTTGCTGAAAGGTAGAACACAGACACAGCCACTCAGTAATGAGGCCGCGCTTTGTGCTACGGCTCTTGCTCTCTTATGCATCCTGTGCACCTTGTCTGAAGAATCAGAGCAGCTCTGTGGTGCGGCCTGCAGAAGTCCCAGGAGAAAGGGACAGCCAAGTGGTGGCTGCTCTCCAATCACAGCCGGAAGCTGCCTAAGTCAGCTTTGCCCTGTGGAGAGAACATCTAAAGGGTTCGTCCTCCTCCCTCTGCAAAGCCAAAGGACACAGTGAGGGCCAGGCTCTCCCAGGACCAGGCTGGGCATCTGCACCCGAGTCAGGCAGGATCCCCAAGGCTTCCTGGCCTGAGCACAGTGCAAACACCCCCGGGGCGGGGGAGCAGACACCACCACCCGAGCGGAGAGAGAGGTGTCCACTGAAAGGAAGGAAGGGCGTTTTAGTTTCTGCTCTTCATCAGACCACCATGCAAGCTCCCCATCGGGACAGACCCCTCTCTGCAAAGGCCACTGTTGTTATTTTCATAGTAAACAATCTGTGGTGATGCTGACTTTATTTCAACATCACAACTGCGTCCCTTGACCCTATAAACACCTAGATGAAATATCCCAATTATTTGGTAATAAGCAAACTTGTTTTCATTTTCTCTGCTCACACAATAGCTCACATTTGCAAATTGTTTCAAAAAGATCTGATTAGCCAAAAATAACATTCAAGTTATAATGAACTCTAAAAAAGCATCAGAAAAAATACAGTCAGCACTAGAACACAACATAA